CATCAAGTACCGCTTCCTAACAGAACAAGCCCTCCGAAAACGCCTCACTATCCTTCACGTCCCTTCTACATCCAACTCCGCTGATTGCCTAACCAAAGTGCTCAAACCCGCCGTCTTCCAACGGCAGCTCGCGCTCCTTTGCCTCTCCTCATGCGACCTGCCGAGTGCGGCGACTGCTGTACGATAAGCTGCATCCACTCAGCAGGCCCACATTCCTTCATCTACTCAACTCCTTTCTCACCCATCACTTACTGTACGATAGCCACCTGGACACGTTTAGCCACACCACACCACAGTACTTAAGCCCGTCGTCGCCCCCTCCAGTAAATTGAGTGGGCATCATCGCCCTTGATCACACCGAGATAAATTCGGGTTGTAAAAATCGAGAATATAGCACCAAAATTTAGAACTATGCATTTGAGGTGGCGAACGCTGATTGGTTCAAATTCCATTTTCCCGCGAAGTCAAAGTCGGTTGAAGGGTTCTTGAAGTTGAGCCTCTCTCTCCAGTGGAGAGGAGAGTCTCCACCAACACTCCTCCCCATCCTGTACATGTCTGCACCAAACGTAAGTTTGTCTGGCAGCCACCGTACGTCTTTCGAGAATGTCGTCCTCCACGAAGTCAGAGATGCCAATGGTACTCTGTGGAGGTTGTGAAGGCGTTTGCATCGGACCTCAGTGAGTAGGAGCATGCACTTCACAAGTAGGAGGGTGCGGTTTTTTGCCGGTGGGGTTGACCTGCAGGTCAATGCAGTTCTCGGCAAGGTCTTAAAAAAGCAAAGGTGTATAATAGCGAGAGGCCAATTAAGGCTCGCCAAGTTTCTAAAATATTTAGCACTTTACACTCGCCGGTGGGGATGCTCTTACAGTTTACAGTAAATGGAACTATACACGTGTATCACACACGCACACACGTGTATTCGGTACACACGTGGAGATACACGTCTGTTCCATGTGCAACGTGGGCTGATGCGCCGCATATGTACAGTATAACCCCTCTATACGAATCTCCTCAAAAGGAATAACCCCTGTAAACGAATACATCCATGCTCCACCGATGCTGGTTCTGTGTTTTTGGCCTGTTCAGGGGGGTGCTAGTAATACGAGTTCAAGAATACACTTCTTGGATAGGGCCCTAATTTTCACTTATAATTTCAGGTTCTGGCAACCTCCGTATAATAATAGTTTAATCTCCAAATGATCATTCAACCGGATCAGATAGATCCAAAAAAGATCCATTCTAGGCCGCGCATTTCGTAACGACATTTTATTGAATGCCCTTGGTGTTATTCTGCTTGATACAGTGCAATACAGCTCTGTACTGCATTGCATCTAGTCTAGGCGGACGCTTTTTTGAGCTGTGGCGCATCGTGAAGTCGCAATTTTTGAACAACACCGATTTGACAGACAGCATCATGGCCAGAGTTCGTCTCACAATTTCCCAAAAGAAAAAGATACTTCACGAGATCGACAAAAGAAAAGCAGACGGCAGAAACGTGGATCAGATAGCCATTGGACAGTGGGCAGCACACACTTTCAATCTTTCCCATCCTTTGCCGCAGCCGACCATTTCCAAAATAATTGCCAAGAGAGCAGCTCTCTCAACCTCTGCAACTCCGAATCAAAAGCGGCGCGGGCCACTCTTCAATGATCGCCTAGGCGAAGGGCTTGCTTTGTGGGTATCTGATTGTGCAAGCAAGAGTGTTGCTCTTTCAGATCTTGCTATCAAGGAAAAAGCAAATCGGATATTAGGCGAGGTTAACATCGAGCTCGAAGACAGTGAAAAGATTGATATGAAGTTCAGCAACGGCTGGTTGTACAAATGCAAACAAAGACACGGACTTCGACGCATTAAAATGCACGGCGAAAGTGTCTCTGCCGAAACTGTTGTGGCGACGGAAGTACTGCCAGTTCTCAGGGAAAAAATCCGCACATATGCGCATGAAGATATATACAACGCTGACGAGTTCGGGCTTCAGTACTGTCTTGCGCCTGATAGCACAATTGCCGCACAGCAGGTAAGTGGAACTAAAAAAGACAAAGCACGCATTACATGTCTTGCGTGCTGCAATGCAACTGGTACGGACAGATCTCCGTTGCGAATCATTGGGCGGGCAGAAAACCAAGGGCATTTGAAAGAAAAAGCGGAGTAGAATTGGGATTTGACTACAGGTGGAATGCAAAGGCATGGATGACATGAATGACAAAGATACTTTTTAATGAATGGTTAGAGCGTTTTAACACTCATGTGCGACTTCGTGGGAGAACAGTAGTTCTTTTGTTGGACAATTGCTCTGCCCATGAAAAAGATCACGAAGTTGCCGCTTTAAACCTTTCGAACACGCGCGTTATATTTTTGCCTCCGAACATGACATCTTTGATCCAACCGTGTGATGCGGGTATTATTCCTGCCGTCAAATGTCGGTATCGCCGCTTGCAAATTGCAAGGGTTTTGGATTACATTGATATCGGTGAAAGGAACATTTACAAGGTCGATGTTTTGCAAGCAATGAGATGGATTCAGAAATGCTGGAATGAACTTCCTCCCGAAGCAATTTATAATTGCTGGCGTCACACTAAACTGGTTGATGGAGATATAGACAGTGTTGCAGTGGAGGGGGTTGAAAATGAGTTGACTTCATTGCCAAATGACATATCAGATGTGGCACGCACAGTAGATCGTCGGATGCTTGTTGAAACACTTCTTAACAATCCCTCAGAAAACAGTGCAACGGAGGAGGTCACAGATGATGAAATCATTGGGTTTGTTCTTAATGGAATGACAGATACAGGCGAGAATGAAGATATAGAAGGTCAAACCCCTCCAAGTTTGCCTTCCCGTCGGGAGCAGCTGCGCATCCTTGCTACTGCAAGGCTTATTATGGAGCAGTATGGAGGCTATGCTCACACTACAGGAGGTATTTCTCGTGTTCAGCGCGAGATAAGGCGTGATCAGCAGGATAGCGCCATTCAGACGAAAATAACGTCCTTTTGGGGCTAGGCTACACGTGTAAAATATTTGAAAAGTGTACCTCTTCGACGGATACACCCCTCACTATGAATATGACTAGATTCCACCGACCCCATTCCTATAGGGGGGTTATACTGTATTTACAGTCCTAATGTACGTTACGCACACGGGTACACCTGTACACGGGTGAGCACCGAGTTAATTTGTCTCAGCAAATGGTTGTGGGCCAAATCAATTGGGGCGGCATTTCAAGAACCGTCCGCTTGATCCCGTTGCAACATCTCAGCGCCCACGTCCCATACCGCGAGCTCCCGCGCACCATCAACTCCGCCTTGTGCGACCACCTCTCCCTCTCCCGCCCGCCGCCGGACGCGCCTGCAAACCTCCAACAACCTCTCACCAGCTCCAGGTAAACATGGACGCAATGGCAGCAGCCATGGCCGAGGCGCAAGTCGCTTGGTCTGTTTGCTTTCAACCTGCATAGAACAATTCACAAACTACGCGCAATCCGTGAAAGCTGCGAGTACGGTATGTGGCCCACAGACGGCACATGAGCCCTGTCAATGAGGCAACAAAGACAACATATTCCAACCCCAAATCAGTTTATGCTTTTCTTTTAAACAGTTATCATACGGTATGAGGTTTTACTCTCATCTCATTTCGCGTTTTGTACTGGGGGGAGGGCTTTACGAGCAGTCACAGCATGTGTATATATATCCAATAAGAAGTTGTGAGCTTGCGCATCACGTTCAGGATGGAAGGTGCAAGACAAATAGAAGCATTGAAGTAAACCTGTAGGCTGACCAACTTTCAAGCAAGTGCGGGTTACGTGAACGCCTTTTGCTGTTGCGTCCGCTTTCTTACTCGTTTACCATCGCCGCCCTGTGCATCCCGGCTTGACTGTCCCAGTAGCGGGGGTTTCACGACAAGCCCACGTGGTTACCAGCGTATCCGCGCCCACAATCTCTCCTGAGGACGGAACCGAGCCGCAAGGCCTCCATCCTTCTCTACATCGCCTTGCTAGCACGGTCAGCTTAGTGCGAACAAGTGCCAGCAGAGTCCGGACTTCCCAGCCAGAAGGGCCCAAACTCAAAACATGCTCATGACCGGCAGCCTGCTCTGGCTTTGACAAAAAATAAATGAGGCAGAGTGGCGACGCCAGGGTGTGGCATCGAGGACCGAAAATGCGTGACAAAAATATATTGATGCTAAAAGTACTGAAAATTGCTCACCCAACGTGGATTGTGATCCAATTCTTTCTCTCCGTCCGATGCAATCGCTCCTCCGGTACTTCAACACCACTACTCTGCGGTGCGACGAAGTAGCCTTCACGTTTCTTCGCAGTGCACATGCACACGACAGTATCGTTAAGGATTTGAAGGCTGGAAGCGCAGACGCACACTTGTCCCGCCCTCGGCGACAATTGATTGGCGTCGTATGAGGCCGGCTTGCTCGTTGCGTCTTGGCAGAACGTGATCTTCGTAATTAACTTAACAAATTAAGAGCCGATGAGGAACCAAGCTGCACATGATGTTAACATCCACTCTCGTTTCAAGTCTTTCAGGTTTAAGAGTCCCCTTCCTCCATCGACCACCGAAAGTATCTGCCTCCATCGTCCACACCCCGCTGCACTACCAGCCCCGCCTCAACCCGCTCCCCCCAAACCTCCAATCAATCTCACCATCATTCACCCTGAACCTTAGCCGACGGCCCTCGCGCCTTGGCCCCTCCTGCGTCCGGAACAGCCTCCGATTCAGCTCATCCCTGCCTTCCACCTCCGCAGCTGCCACCTCCTCCGGCCCCATCTCGCCCCTCTCCTCCGCCCCGCCCAGTACCCTGACAGCACACTCACTAACTTTGGCTCCATAATCCCCCGCCCAAAACCGGTCATCCTTCCCCGCCACCACGATCGTCACGTACTTCACGCCCTCCCGCGCCGCAAACACCACCCGGAATTCCTCCCAGCACTCTGCAGGCGCCGCCAGCATCTCGCTCTGCTCCCTCGCCACCTGCCTCCCCTCTTCATCGTACAGTCCAGCTGTCAGCCGGAATGTCGACGGGCAGTCCCACCGCCCCATATACCTCGCCGACACCTCCACGCGCACTTGCCCGGGCTCCCTGACAAACCGCCGCAAGTCCACGGCCTGCCCCATCACGCACCACGAACACCCGCTGACAAAGTTCACGCTCCCCTCCCCGCTCGCTCCATGCTCCACTCGCCACCGCCCGTCCATGCTCTCCCACCCGTCCATGCCCTGCCGCCCGCTCGCATTGTACACCATGTTCGCCCCGCGCTCCTCCTCCTCCGCCTCGCCGCTCTCACACATCGTACACTCCAACAGCAGCTCACAATCGCCGCCGGCCCCGTTCCTGTGGCGCGCCTCGCCGTCCGGCATGGGCGTCTCGCACACGCCCGCGCCGGGGCACTCGACCGGCTGCGGCGTGCGGCCCTCCCCCGTGCGGGCGTCGTCGCGCGGGTGGCACGCGGCGCAGAAGTGCGTGCTGCCAAAGCAGACGTAGCGCGCGCGCGCGCAGCAGTAGCGGCACTTCCACACGTGGAAGGGGGCGTGGCGGGCGTGGCGGCACTTGCGCGAGGTGCGCGGCGTGCAGGTGCCGCACAGGCGGTCGTCGGGCGCGAGCTCGGCATCATCCGCGACGTCGGCGCAGCGCACCGTGCCGCCGAAGTACGGGTCGCCGCACAGGGCGCACAGGTAGAAGGCGTAGGTGCGGCGGCCGTAGGCGAGGGCGGCCGGCTCGGGGAGGGAGATGTTGTCGGCGCGCAGCTGCTCGCGGATCAGGGCGTCGACCTTCGGCAGCACGGCGTGGTACGGGGTCGTGAGCGGTGTGAGGGCTGGATGCGTGCAAATGGTCTGGCATTGGGCGCAGCGGCAGCCCGAGAGGAGGAGACGGCGCGATGGGGTCGGGGGGAGCGTTGTGAGTTGTTGGTGAAGGCAGGACAGATGGTAGATGTGGCCGCAGGTTAGAGTTAGAGTGGGGGAGGCAGCGAGGGGGTAGAGGCAGATGGCGCAGTCCGTAGAGGTGTCCGTAAAGTTGGCGGGGGCGGAGGAGGATGCGTTCGCGGACATGGTTTGAGGTGGGTGCGTCGGAGGCGGAGGGGGGATGACAGAGGTACAGGGCCTTGCTAGTTGCCTTGTAGAGTTGAAGGGTCGCAGGGTGGAGGGACATGAAGCTCTGAAGGAAACAATAGTGTACTCGATCGAGCAGCAAGGCGCATTGCTGGACGCATCTCTGTACACGCCGGTGATATGAGGACAACTGTCCTCATATGAGGAGACTTTTCGACAAATTTTTTTCTTGACTCTCTCGACACACGGACAAGAATGAAAAAAGTACTCCTGCCACCGCATTTAACTTCTGCCTTGGGACCAGAAAGAAGTTTGTGAGACTTGCATGTTCTTCTTGGTTGTTTCAAAATATGTCTGGAAAAGAAGATTTTTTGAACCGCCTTAAAACTGCATGAAAAACGTGTGAAAGCGGCTTCTAAGCCCGATCCTATTCACCGAACAGCGTTCACAGACCTTAGCTTGTCTTCCTTATGGATCCGGTTCCGGAAATAAAAAAAAGCAATGCGCATGCGCCTGACAATGGCGCAGAATTGTTTGGAGAGCTGGAAGTTTTGGCGACTGAATGCCAAGTTTCAGACGCTCTATCGTATCTGAGGTCGGCAAAGCGAGCGTTTCTAACCGCAAAACGCGACAGAGAACAAACGCGGAGCAGGCAGACGTCAATTACCGATTGCATGAAAATAGATGTGAGGACGGCACTAATGCCATCTCCCAATAGTGCATGTTGTTGGGGCCTCGCACGGGGCGGCACTAATGGGTAGGGTCCCCTGTACTGTGCCTCCCCGTGGAAGGAGGGCAGAAGAACGGTGACGTAGAAAGTACGGACACCCCCAAAAGGGCCAACCCCACGCTCCCCCCAACTCACAACGTCCCCACCCTGTCTGCCTTGACTCACATACCCACACACCCACACCCGACCGCACACCCAGAACACACGCGCACCGAGCACGACCGCTTAGCGTGCCATACCTCTACTTTTCGTGATTTCAGTCAGCCATCATGGATCCATTTGGTCTCCTAGGTCTCCTGGGCGTGACGCTCAAAGATGCGATTGCCCTTGTTAGTGGTCTCATGGATGTACATGATGCTTACAAGAAAAACGGAGCCTTGGCCGACGACGTGCTGAAAGAGTACGCCGAGCTGCTGGATTTTACAGAAGGCGTGGCACAAATTCCCATTGACGAACTGCAAACGTTTCACAAGAATAAAATACAAAAGAGTATTGATTCCGTGTCGAGCTCTGTGTCAGAGTTGGTCGAAGAACTTCGCCGTGAAGCAAGGAACCCAAGGGGCAACCTGAGTGCCTTGAAGTCCGCCATCGGCGACCGGAACGTGTTGATGGAGCGCCAACACAAAGCTAAGGAACACCTTGCTACTATGGAGGCGGTACGAACGGAGCTGCATGTGATTAGTGAGGTACGCTTGCAGAGATCTGGAAAAGAAGTGTTCATACCGAGTTTTTCAGCCGAGCATAACCCTCCGTCAGTATACGTTGACTTGGGTTCTGTCGAGAACCACCCTGCTCCTGACACGTTTGAGAGGAAACTGAAAGCTGCTGTGTTGAGGAATGGAAGCACTTCGCACGTAGGGGCAACGGCGGTCGGACAAGCCGGAGTCGGAAAGACGTGTGCACTACGAGCAATTTCGCTTGACAGGGAGATTGTTGCGCGCTTTCCAGGTGGAGTGTATTTTTCAACTCTGGGGCAAGACGCAAGAGAAGGGCAGCTGAAACAAGAACTTTGCAATGCTGTCAAAGTGTCTGGGGGACGTGAAGAAGGGGGCAGGTTGTCTAAGGAGGCGGACCTTAACGTTGTTCTAGCAGGGGTGCAGAGCTGGTTTGCGAATCGGGTATGTCTGTTTATTTTCGATGATGTGTGGACGCGCAACAACAACGATAAGAAGATTCTTCTAAAACTGTCTCGACTTGCGAACACGGCAGTGATCGACGGAGAGCCAAGGAGCAGGGTTCTGTACTCTACGAGAGATCCGAGCCTGACACATCTCGGGGAGCCAGTGAGGTTCAGTGCTCGAGAAAATCGAGGGGAAGCTGCGCGCAACATACTGGTTCATACGAGTGGGGCGTCGCTTAGTGAAGTGGAGAATGAGATATCGAGAGAGGCATTTTGCGAGATTCTTGACACATGCCGTGGGTTGCCACTAGCACTGAATATTGCAGGAGTTAACGTGAAGCAATGGAGGGGAGATCGTGTTGGGGATATACCAGAGTTATGGGTGTCGTACTTGCAGCAGATCGAAGAAGACAAGGAGCCTAGAGCGATAGGTGCAAAGGAACCAGAGGACGAGTATGAATCGCTACACACAATGCTTCGTTCGTCCATACGAAGTCTGGACTCAAATGGGAGGCGAGAAGGTGTATCATTTGGTGAAATGCACCGGGGATTGTGTGTGATGAAGAAACAGGATGTGATTCCTCTTACTGTGTTGAGAGATTTGTGGGAAACGGGAGATGTGAGGTCGGCAGAAAAGTATGCAAGAGAGATGAACAGCGTTGGGCTGGTTGACATTCATTTCGAGGTAAAGTCGAAGAGCGTGGAGATGGGGGTACGTCTTCATGACCTCACGCATGATTTCGCAATGCATGAAGCCAAGCAGATGGAAGGCAGCAGTTGGAATCAAAAGTGGTATCGGAAGGTAGTGGATAGCTATCGGAAAGAAAGAGAAGTGGTGGAAGCAGTAGTGGAGGATCAAGGGGCTCAGGCAAGTGACGCAAGGGAGCAGTACTTTTTCGAGAATATTTGCCGTCTGTTGTTGAAAGGAGAGATGATGAATGAGCTGCGTGGTTTACTTGTTAGTGCGCGGTGGGTAATTAAAGTTTTGTTGAGGAAGGCTGTGTGGCAACTGGAGGCAGCCGTGAAAGATGTGACTGAGGTTTCGCGTCAGGGGACAGGGACAATTGGAACCGCTGGAACCGCTGAAGACGAGGGGTTATCGACAATAGGATTGGTGATGAAAGCTGCGCGTTTGAGTGCACCATTTTGTGACGAACACGTGGCGGGTATCTGCTTTCAGCTTTACGATAGGACGATGCACAAGCGGGAATTGAGAGGCGTAGAGGCGTTCTTGTCGGAGATCAAGCTGTTTGCGCCTCAGCCATGGCTGCTGCCATTGCGTCCATGTCTACCTAGAGCTGGTGAGAGGTTGTTAGAGACGTTCAAGACTCCAGCTCTTTTGAGAAACGTGGCATTCGATTCAGACGGTACGGTGGTAGGATGGGCTTATGGTGGGGAAGTCACGGCAGCGTTGAAAGTATTCACATTTACTCAACAGGGTTCTGTTGTAAAAAGGATTTCCAACAATGTGTATGGGGGTTGGCGGTCGGACGAGGGAGAGACCGTGATGCAAGAAGAAACGGAAACAGAAATCTCCAGGCCGTGTCAAGTGTTGGAAGAGGGACGAGAAGCGGCGCAAGGTAGTCTTTGTCAAGATGAGGCATCAGCAGAAGTGGCCAGGCCAAGTGTGGAAGTGCCGGAGGAACGATTGCAACGGACGGAGAGAAAGAATTGGATTGCAAGAGTTGGGCATGACATTAAGAAAAAAGTGGGGGCATGCTACTGCTTACGGAAAGGTTGTGAAGTTGTCAGCACTAGTGAAAACGTTGCACAGGACTCTGAATCACGGATACGCAGCACGAGTGGACTTTCAGGAGCTGGTAGAGTTAGTGCAACTGGAGCGCATGATAGTGTGAGCGGAAGCTCTGGGGCTGAAAGCGAGGGCGGAACATCAATATCTGAAAGCGTGACCCGATGTATGGGTAGGAGGGTGACGGCAGCTTTTGTTTCTGGAAACGGCAGCCATGCCATTCTGGGGTACGACAACGGGGCCGTCGTTGTTTTGTGTATGAAACGCAAAGAAATCATTCAATGCTTCAAAGGCCATTTGGATGAGATAACTGCTGTAGCTATGAGCGGGGATGGGAAACGCGTTGCGTCAGGATCATATGACGGAACAGAGAGAGTGTGGAATGTTGAGACGGGGCTTCAAATCGGGGACACAATGACCGGACACACGGCTCGTGTAATGAGCGTGGCGATGAGCGGGGACGGGAAGCGGGTTGTGTCGGGGTCATCTGACAGGACGGTGCGGGTGTGGGACGGTGAGACGGGGTGTCAAATCGGGGAAACAATGACCGGACACACAGCTGGGATAACGAGCGTGGCGATGAGCGGGGACGGGAAACGGGTTGTGTCGGGATCACATGACAAGACGGTGCGGGTGTGGGACGGTGAGACGGGGTGTCAAATCGGGGAAACAATGACCGGACACACGCGTGGGGTAATGAGCGTGGCGATGAACGGGGACGGAAAACGGGTTGTGTCGGGATCATGGGATAACACGGTGCGTGTGTGGGACGGTGAGACGGGGTGTCAAATCGTGGAAACAATGACCGGACACACGGATTGGGTAAGGAGCGTGGCGATGAGCGGGGACGGGAAACGGGTTGTGTCGGGGTCATCTGACAGGACTGTGCGGGTGTGGGACGGTGAGACGGGGTGTCAAATCGGGGAAACAATGACCGGACACACAGCTGGGATAACGAGCGTGGCGATGAACGGGGACGGGAAACGGGTCGTGTCGGGGTCATCTGACAGAACGGTGCGAGTGTGGGACGGTAAGACGGGGTGTCAAGTCGGGGAAACAATGACCGGACACACGGATTGGGTAAGGAGCGTGGCGATGAACGGGGACGGAAAACGGGTTGTGTCGGGATCATGGGACAAGACGGTGCGGTTGTGGGACAGTGAGACGGGGTGTCAAATCAGGGAAACAATGACCGGACACACGGATTGGGTAAGGAGCGTGGCGATGAACGGGGACGGGAAACGGGTTGTGTCGGGGTCAGATGACAAGACGGTGCGGGTGTGGGACGGTGAGACGGGGTGCCAAGTTGGGGAAACAATGACCGGACACACGGCTGGGATAACGAATGTGGCGATGAGCGGGGACGGGAAACGGGTTGTGTCGGGATCATGGGACAAGACGGTGCGGGTGTGGGACGGTGAGAGGGGTGTCAAAATCGGGGAAACAATGACCGGACACACGGCTGGGATAACGAGCGTGGCGATGAGCGGGGACGGGAAACGGGTTGTGTCGGGGTCATCTGACAGAACGTTGCGGGTGTGGGACGGTGAGACGGGGTGTCAAGTCGGGGAAACAATGATCGGACACACAGATCGGGTAACGAGCGTGGCGATGAGCGGGGACGGGAAACGGATATGGTCTCGGGGGGCAGGTGGAACACTGCGGGGTTGGAAACAGAGGTCGAGTGTGTTGGATATGTCGATGACCGAAAGCGGTATATGGGTGCTAGAAACGTGCGGCATTTGTGAGGTGAGCGACAAGGTAATCCTCAAACAGGGCGACGGTTCCGAAATCACACTAGCCCACCTCGAATGTTCGGTAATGGACTTCGTGGTGAATATGGAGTGTGAGACTGTAGTTGTTGGTATCAGAAACGGCTCGGTCGGTATCATGTCGGTTATCAGCTCTGACGATGCGAGTCGGTAGGATAGGATTAGTGTGGTAAAATCTGTTCTGATGGTGTTTGTTCCCTTTGTGAACGGTTACATGGATGTACTCGTGAATGGTGAAGTGGAACCACCTGTGGACGAGAGCGCGGGCTTTCTGTCGTGATCTTAGGAGGACTATTGATCAAGACGTGATCTTTGACTTCGCTGAAGGAAGGGAGAGGCATTGTTGGAAGAAGGTGAGAGGGTTGCGAAGAGTACAGTTTCCAGTTTCCAGTGCAGGGGGAAATATACACGTGTGTAATACACGTGTATTCGGTATACACGTGGAGAGACACGTCTGTTTCATGTGCAACGTGGGCTGTTGCGCCGCATACAAGGGGGTGCCCCCACTTTTTGCACAAGACCCCCACCAGTTGAACAACTCGAAAAATATCAGATTTTAAAGCAAATAAACAAAAGCATTGCTGTTATTGCATGTCAAAGAGGTGACGGAGACAAAAAAGGCCCATAACTGGGCGGGGAATCCAAATCAAACATTTTGCCGCGCTTTTTCGATATCTGCGTACTCGAAAACACTTAATTCGATGTGTTCTGCTCCATATAAGTGCAAATTGAAGCCTTGGTGACCTTCCCAGACTCTCCAGACTGTGTTAGAAACCGGGTGTCAACTCACAATGGGTCGTGTCAAACGAATGTCGAAGCACGAGAGATGCTTTCAAAAGGCTCTTGCCGCAGTTGACAAGGGTGTGGATAGACGCCGTGCTTCGTTAATTGCGCGTATGCCGTTATCCACGTTTCAGTACCGCCTAATGCACAAGGACAGGAAGCCGATCAGCCGAACGTACCTCACCGCTGACGAAGAAAATGTCATTGTGGACCTCGTTAACAGGTACTCTGCCCGTGGCTTTCCTCTCAGCAATGAGGATATCGGTGATGAAGTCGAGATTCTCGTCGTGTCGTTTCCCGCAGATCGCCGAGCAAAACTACCCTTCGTAAACAACAGACCTGGAAAAAATTCTTCCGCAATTTTCGTGCTCGCCATAGCGATCGCATCCGCTTCAGACGCTGTTCGAAGGAGGAGGAGTTGCGCTGGAGCGCAGGCAACGCAGATGTCCTCACATCCCATTTAATTGAGGTGCACAAGCTCATCGCAGACAACAGGATAGATTCATATCATATTGCCAATCTTGACGAGACTGGCATATCCCCCAACCGTGATAGTTTTAAATCCAGCCACAAGAAGGCATACGTAACAAGATCTTTTAAACTGGGGTGCTCTGTTCAGCGTTCTCCTGAGTTCCGAAACATTGAAAGGTTAACAATTATGCCCGTAGTATTTGCGAGTGGTTGCGTTGGAAGGCCTTTGTTTGTCGTAAAAGGCAAGTCGCTTAATTATCGTGTGACAAAGTCTGCAGCAGGAGAGCGAGTGGAGACAATTGCAGATTGTCTCCCAACCGGTAGCGTTATCACTTGTCGTGAAGACATTGCAGGCGTGGACTCTCAAAATTTTTATGAATGGGCGCGTATGTTTGTGGATGACAACAAAATAAGATTGAGCAGTGGCAAGATACTTTTATTGCTTGACGGTTACAGGAGCCACATGAGGTACAGGACAATGCAGTTTTTTCACGATGCTGGAGTCATCGTGTACGCTTTGCCGGCGCACACTAGCGGTATTACACAACCGTTGGATGTTTCTGTGTTCGCCGCATTTAAAAACAAGCTTCGAGATCTTGTTGAGAGCCTATCAAGTCACATGAAGGACAATGTCTACGACCGGTTTGATTTTCTGATGCTTGTAAAACAGGCATACAGCATGACTTTTACGAGAAGCACCATTGCCTCTGGTTTCGCGAAGGCAGGTATATACCCTGCCAACCTCTCGCACGTCTTCAGTGTGCCGCGGCCAAGGTCTTTTTCTCACCCAAATGAATTGATCTCGGCAGTAGATATTGAGAAAATATTGGAAGATAAGCGGGAGAAACGGAGGAAGAATATCGGTTTGCAGCCTGTGGTGTTAAGGAACGGGTTCCTGGATACTACATTTGGCTTATGTCTCACGTCTGAAGAAGCTTTAAAAAAAGCCAAGGCAAAGGATGCGATGGACAAAGCCAGAAAGGCAGAGCTAGCAAGAAAGGAGGCCGACAAAGCAGAGCGCGAATCCATCGCTTGTGAAAGAGTAAGGCGAGAGCGACAACGCTTCGAACGCAAAGCAATGAATTTTCGGGTTCTTGTTTATGGAGTGGAAGGCAAGCTGCCACGGCCGATGTTGGAGCGCCGCATGGTGGCGAAACGTCGGACAGCAGAAAGAAACAGTCGCCGCTGTGTGGAGGCTGTGAATCAGTTGATGGGTTAACTGTTGCCGCAGTGGGGATCGAAATTCAAATAAAAATTTGCATGTTTTTTGCAGTAGCCAATAAATTGGCTGTTCAGATTAGGGGGGCCTCAGAACTGGCAACTTGTTGTTCATTCACGTTCGCTTCTTTTCGCATTGAGACCATTGTTTCTCCATACCGGTTTTGAGGCTTGACAATCTGTCGCCATGCTTCAAGAAAATTCAAATCTTGTTCAAAACGGACGTCTAAAAGATATTATTTTTTTTAAATCTTTGATTTGTTCAACTTGTGGGGCTACCCCCTTGTACTTGTATGTATTAGCCTCACTGCAAGACGAAGATACATAGATGGGCGCTACATATACGGTCAAAGCCCCTGCACTCGTGACATCCGCACTGTGGCAAGGAATGGGTGCATCCAGAAAATAGCACTCTAACACTTTACCATTGTATGATAGTTTCAAAAATTGATTGTCCCCACCACTCTTGCACTCCATCACTGCCGTTCCGTGGCGGTTCCACCCCAGTTGGAACATGTTGCGAACTGTACACCCACTCGCACCCCCACTCGCCGACAACCTCCCCATCCCCTAATCCCAAAGCCAACCACACCTTCCTCCTCAAACCTGGCGCCCGCATTCTGACACTGTCATCTCAACATGGCATCCCTTTTGGACGGATCCGATCCTCCCTCTCAAGCTAACCCGAACAAATCAATACTTTCCAGTTGCGTACTGCGTCCTCTTGTTTTCGGTCCCCTTCGATAAGGGCTACCGAAGTTATATTTCAATTGTTCCTGTATAAAAAATGGAAGTATACTGTTTAGCAGTAAGGCCTTCGTGATATTTACGGATACAAGGAAGTCGGAGTCTTTCCCGAACGAGAGAAGCACGCGCCAAGGAGTGGACCGCTGTGTGCGAGGGCGAATAATGGCTGGGCAGAGGTACTTTGGGTTCTTGTTGCGATGACGGCGCTTGCGGCGCATTGTTGTCCTCCTCCGGGCGACAAAACATGTCGTCAGAGCTGCTAGCGATACTGCTAGAGCTGCCAGAGTGTGCTTGCGGCTGTTCTGAAAGGGCATTGCGATGCCAAAGGGCATTGGCGAAGCGGGCATCACCGACAGCTCGAGAGAGGGGTCTGGGAATGTGGAACTCCAGTGCGCAAGGATGGAATGGGAAGTGGTGCCGGAGTGGTGGAGTGGAGAGGGGTCGAGAGGGCTTGATCAGATGGTCAAAAGTAGTCAGCCGGCGACCACTTTATCGGTCGCTGATTGGTCAAAAAAGTAGTCGAGTGATACAGTGTTATTTTCTGGATGCACCCAATGTACATCGCCCAGCAGAAGCGCGTAGCAGTTAGCGCTGATGCCACCTGATGACCTCCTGTGGCATCTAGGTGCCATCTGGTTCCATTTCGGATAGCATCACTTTCTGGTGCTATTTGGTTCTATTTCGGATAGCATCCCTTTCTGGATACTTCCCTTTACTTGTGACCGTTTTTAGAGTTATTTTCTTTTATGGCATCTTTGCCTCTGTCTCACGTTTAGCCAAGGCTTTGTAGTATCTGTTGTGCCAACATTTAAGTTGACTCACTACTCAATAAACAGAGAGTCAGAGGACTTCACTCTCGACTATCTTTTCTTCGTGCAGAAGCCAAAGTGATCACTTCGCAAGCAGGTTCGTCTACCTGACTGCACAAACTTTACTGTGCTTCCACCATGGCCGAGAGCCCGCAAGGTGAACAGCACTTGTTTACTCCAATCTCGCACCCTGAGCTCCGTCAGCTTGGTCAGAAGCACATTCATGTCTTCCTTCGTGAGCGAGAGAGCTACTTTCTACGAATCAAAGATGCTGTTAATAGTGGTGGAACATACATAGAGCCCATAAGCATCAAGGCTTCGGTGGACTCTGATTTACTCAAATCGCTCATCGAGCTTGACGAATTTGGACCTGAAGTTACTAATTTGGACGAGCTCACCAACGAAATACTTCAAAATTGGCTAGAGAATCGGCAAGGGAATACTTTCGAAAGCTTGACTTTGGAGCAGTTGGAGCACATAGTTGTGTCACGTGTACGTATCAATTTGAACGAACCTGACGCACAGTTAAGGGCAATCCGTCTTTTCGCTGATTACAAAACGCTGCTACGTTCCCGCAAGTGGGATAAGGTAATAGAAGAAAACCCGAAGGTGGCTATATCACACCTGGTCCAATTGCTAAAACCGGAGCCTTTGCGCGTCAAGATCGAGAATGATCTTCAGCTATCAAAAAGGGAACTACAAAAAGACTGGAAAGGATTCTACAAGTATGTCGCCCAACAAGCTGTCTTTTGCGAATCTTTTGTGCCTGCCCGCCGTTCTACTTCTGCGGGAAAATCATCTACAATTGATCACCTCAATCCGCGTACAAACCACTATGGTACATCGAAGTCCGGACCTTCCAAGTCCCCTGGAGCTGAATCCACACCGAAATCTGGATTGTTTCTAAACACAGTACCCTGTCTTCGTTTCCCAAAATCTTCTTCCCAATTTTCCACAAACAGGCAGAATCGCTCTGCGGCCACTGCCCCTGGTAATGCCATGGAAGTCCCTCGATATCTTAACGTCTCTCTGTGTAATGAACATCATTTCGTGAAGAACTGTCCCAAGACCAGTACGGACGAAGCAAAACATTTGCTCAAGGCATTTCACGAATAAAACCGTGCTACACGCTCAATAAGAGCGCTCTGTGTCTCACGAGACTCTC